TGGTTCATAAATAATTTATTAAACTAATCTATTAACAAGATAAGTTTTCTAAACACTTACATTACATACATCCCGGCCCTCACCACCGGCGCATATACTGGTCTCAGCGACGGTATAGTTATAAAAGTCTCTATAAATGGACTGACAGTCACTGCGTTTAACAACCGGCACATCCAGTGTCTGTAATATCTCGGGTAATGTCGTTATGTTTTCATTAGTCATACCCCAACCAATTATCTTAACTATAGATCCCGGTGCTATATCCGTGTCTTTGGCAGCCATTTCAATTTTATTCAAATTCTTTGAACCAAGTTCAAATTTTCCCACTATTTGTAATAGCGCGATATCATGAAGTCCGTGCTGGTCATATAACTCGTGATAAATAATCTTGCTAACATTGTAATTTAAGCCACCTGTGTTACGTGCAATAGTGCCACAGTGTAATGATGCTGTACCGTTTCTGTTTAATATGATAAAGGTTATTATATTAAAATTAAAATGTTTTAATTAATAAATATAAACTTGATAATATATGTGTCCCCAATTAATACACAGTGGGCTGCGGTTAGCACCCATTGCTCCCCAATAATACTGGCGCCACACCAGTGGCTACCGTCCCATCGCAGTGAACACATGTATGGGTTATCACCGGCTTTAGCGTCGTGTCCACCAATTATCTCTACATTTGAATCCATGTCCTCGTCGGACATATGCCTGTCCACTAGACATCTACTACTAAATGCGCTGGCTGTTAAAGCTAATATAATTAACCTAAACATTGTATTTTTATTTATATTTATGTATTATATTTTTAATAAAATAAATAAAATGGTATTAACTTAAATGAGCTAAGTACTTATATAATTGAGACAATGTGTCATATTTCTCATAGTTCATGAAACATGGATTTAAAATATAATTACAATAAAAATAAGTATGACGTTTAACACTTGGAGATAAAAGATATTTATTTAATAAAATTAAAGTATATTGTTTAACCATTTTAGTGCATTGGGAACGAAATGACCAGGCTTGTGAAGTAATACACAAGTTAAGATTATTAAATTGTCTTTTCCTTAAATATAATATTTAAATATAATATTTAATTTTAACATTTCACACTTAAAAATATAATATCAAGGTTTTTATGAATTTATAGTTTATATGAAAATAACAAGCTCATCTATTATATTAAATGTTAGGGTGTTTATGAATGTTAATGTTTGTCAAACTTTAATAATAACAATTAATATATTATTATTAGTCTAGACAAAATTGGTTTGTGAACAATTAAATGCCAGTGTGATTACGTATCCAATCTCTGTATTTAGACACCCGGGTATACACTGTGGGATAGCCTGGATGTGCACATGGCTTAGTCCACACAGTAATACCAACGAGTGTTTTATTAATAGTTAATGGTGATCCTGAATCAGCCTGTTCAATTAATAAACATAATACAATCATTAAACTAATATAGCTATTAACATAATACAAACAATAATTATGTTGTTACACTTACTGAGCAAGGTTCCCGTCCCTCACCACCCGCGCAAATACTGGTCTCATCGACAGTCATATTAAAGTAATTTTTGTAAATCACTTCACATTTACTTCTTTCTATAACCGGCACATCCAGTGTCTGTAATATCTCAGGATATGTCGTCTGGTTTATGAGACCCCAACCAATAGCCTTAACAAGTGATCCAGGTGCTACATCCGTGTCCTTAGTAGCCATTTGTATTGTATTAATATACTTTGTACCAAGGGGGAAATTTTGCTTAATTTTTAGCAGAGCAATATCATTGGGTCCAATCCAGTTGTATAACTCATTAAATATGATCTTGTTTACCTCGTAATCTACGCCACCTCGGCTACGTTCAATAGTGCCACAATGTAGGGTAAATGACCCATTTCTAAATGAAATTAGCCAAGTTATTTATTTTTTAAATTTTATTAATTTTTATTTAATAAAAATTTTAATTACACGACAATATGTGTGCCGTAATTGAGTACACAGTGGGCGGCGGTTACCACCCATTGATCGCTGATAATAGAGGCGCCGCACACGTGCCAGCCGTCCGTTCGCACGGAACACATGTGAGGGTTATCACCGTCTTTAGCGTCCTGACCGCCGATTATCTTAAAGTTTGTGTCCAGTAACTCGTCCCATACATCCATGTCTACTGGACTAACACAATGTGTGCTAGCTAATAATGTAAGAATTAGCACATACATCATAGTTTTAGATTTTAGTTTTAAATGTTATTAATATTTAAATAAGCTTATTAATTGTAATTATTGTAACATAGTGTAGTTTATATAGAGAATTTATCAATGACATTTGTTAACTTTCACACTAAATAAATAACATTAGTATTTTTAATTGTTAAAAATACAGATGAGTCGTATGAACCAGTGAGATGTGCAAGGACAATCCATGTAATTATTATAGAAACAATTTATTTAATAAAATTAATTATTATAAATACTACGTACTAACGAACATTGTATATTTTAATTTTACAAGTACAAATACTGTAAATATTATCACCATTATCATTATAAAATACTTATTATATCAGTTTCTTTAGAAAAGTATTGATAACTTTAAACTTATTTGTTAGATTCACGAAATGTACCAATGTCCTTTAGAAGGTTAATATTTGTACCAAAAACTGTTATTTCACTGAGATATACAGTATCTTGTCAAAATTAAATCATAAACTATGATTCATAATATGTGTGTGGTGAAAAATTACTATTCAACTATGTTCTAGAATCTAGATCAATGATGAGCATCCATTGTAATCCGGGTCACATTAAAAGTGACAAAACGGCGAACATTTTAAAATAAGTGAGTATTGAGAGAAATGTTAAAATGTACTTTGTGTACAGTTTTGGCACTCATAGTGTGACCCGGATTATTTTATTAAGTCAGATATTGTAGTTGTTTTAATTTAGTAATAAAACTAATATCTATTGAAAATTAATTTTAAATTTTGAATATGTTAAATGTAAAATTTTTTGTTTTTAAAGGCCATATTAATGTTAACATTAATTTTATAATAAATAGTTTCATTAATTTATAATAATAATTTTATTTGTGAAAATTGACCATTTACCAATTTTCAACTAAATGCCTGTGTGTTCACGAATCCAATCCCTGAATTTAGCCACACGTGTAAACACAGTGGGAAAGCCTGGATGACCACAAGGCTTACCCCATGAGGTTAGGCCTACTAGTGTATTGTTGAATGTTAGGGGTGACCCGGAATCCATCTAGGAAATTTAAAAATAATTTAAATTTATCATACATAAAAATAAATACTATACATAATACTACATACAGAGCAGGGCTCCCGTCCCCCACCACCGGCGCATATACTGGTCTCATCGACGGTAAAATTATCAGGATTAATTTTATAGATAGACTGGCAATCACCTCGCTTAATAACCGGCACATCCAGTGTCTGTAATATCTCGGGGAATGTTGTGGGACTGGTTAGACCCCAACCTATTGTCTTAACAATAGATCCCGGTGCTACATCAGTGTCTTGACCAGCGATTGCTATTTTGTTGATATATTTAGTACCAAGCTCAAATTTGTCGTTAATTTTTATTAACGCAATATCATTGGGTCCTTTCCAGTCGTATTTATTATAAATTATCTGGCTTATATTTATTGCATAATCAATTCCACCTTGGCTACGTTCAATCGTACCACAGTGCAATATGAATGTGCTATTTCTGAAATATAATTAGAAAAGTTAAAAATTTGTGGCAATAATTTTTTCAAAAGGGGTCGTTCAACAAGCACGTAATCAATATAAAGTTATAAAGGTAATTTTGATAAAACATTAACATATTTAGTAAATTTCTTTTTTAATTGAATTTACAAATGAAATATCTAAGAGTTGTGATATAAGTTGTGCACATATGTATTGAATGGACCCATAAATACAAATAATACATTACTCGACAATATGTGTGCCGTATTTGAGTACACAGTGGGCGGCGGTTACCACCCATTGATTGCCGATAATAGAGGCGCCGCACGCGTGTCGACCATTTTCTCGTAGGGAACACATGTGCGGGTTATCACCGGGTTTGGCATCCTGACCCCCATATATCATAGCATTTGTATATGACTCACTAGACTCATCGGACACATACCTGCCCTCGCGATTAAATCCCTGTGAGCTTGCTATTAATGTCAGCAAAATAATATTTACAAACATTATTATAAGTTTATTAAATTTTAATTATACCAGTACAGTATATTACACATTTATATCGTGTACAGTATATATTTATATATATTTATAAAAATATATAAGTTACATTTGTTGTATTTCCCATGAACATTTACTGAATTACTATATTGTTGTTAATGAGTCATATAGAAGTAAACATGGTACATATTAGAAACGATCCACTTGGCTTATTATTACATTTTTAAATGAAATAGCTGATTATAAGTTCATAAATACTATAATATTTATGGGGTATCTTTTTATATTACATATTATCAGTTCACCAGTTAAATGTAGTAAATTGTATAATTTATTAATCAAATATATAAAAGTCTGACTGCAAGCACCTATCATATTTATATTTATTAATACATTACCTATAGTTCATAACAATTAGATATTGCAACCAGGTTTTATGTATACTGTATGTATTTTATGTATCTATTATTATATTAAACTAATTCCCTAAACTTAATGTTTTAGAAATTATTTTTACATTTCCAATTAAATAATAATCATTTATAATTACTCCACACAAGATCAATTAATCAATTGAAATTAATTTGTTTACTAGTAAAACATTAAACATTTTAATTACTATTAAGACAATTAAATAGCAATTAATTTATTTATAACACATAATTTAACATGTATTATAGACTATTTGATGTAAAATAGTCATTTATTTAAAATAATATACTTTTATAGTTTGTTAAACTAATATTTTATATTACAACAGACTATGCCATAGAAAATTTAAAATTATTAAATATTTACAAGTTAGTAAACCATAAATTAATAAATTAATTAAAATCAATGTGATCAATTTAATCTCCATAATAATAGATATAACGGTTATAATTATATTCAAATTATTTTCATATTTATTATGTTTGACGGGATGTTTGTATCAAAATTATAAAATAAGTGAACTATACTTTTCATATGAAACCACTACTAATGTCCGCTACGAACTTAACACGGATGAGATTAATAGCCCTGCTATCACAACGTGTATGTCCAAACACCTGTCCATAAAGGATTGTCTAGCATAATATAAATTTAAGGCATTTTCAAAATCTACACTTTAATTAGTAAACATCAATTTTAAACTATCCATTGTTTGTTAAACAATTCTGATGACTAACATAACCCAGACACATTTTCGACTGGCAACTAACCATGTAAATAACTTAATTTGAAAATAATAAATTCTTAATAAAATATTTGAATATTAGGTACCACCTTACACTTTCGTAAACTACCACCCCATTAATAAAACATATGAACTCACGGGAGGTATCGACGCCATGCTCTTTGACCTAATTATGAAGCACTGGAACACAACCTACGATATACTGTATTGCAATCAAATCTGGGGTTCAAACCCCGTTAATAATACATGGCATGGAGTTATGGGAAAACTTATAGACCAGGTAAACCTAATTGATTTTAAATTGCTAAAGATTAATACATATTTATTTATTAAACTAGCAAGCTGATGTAGCGGTCAGCTTATATTAATAATACATGGCATGGAGTTATGGGAAAACTTATAGACCAGGTAAACCTAATTGATTTTAAATTGCTAAAGATTAATACATATTTATTTATTAAACTAGCAAGCTGATGTAGCGGTCAGCTTAATAATGACTACTGTCCGCATGAGTGCTATTAGTTTCACGAATCCCTATATGTTTAGTATAATTACATTCACGTCTCCAATGCCTATAATAACATATTTTGACAGTTTATTGCAACCTTTCGACACATTCACCTGGATATCCATTATAATCATGTTATCAACAATAATCATATTATTATTACTTTTAAATAAGGCATCAAACATAAAATATGACTTATTCTGGTATATATTCGTCATAGTATTAAGGTCAAATATAACAAAATATAAGCCAACCCACATAGATAGTTTGATAATATTGTGCTGGATGTTGGTGTCATTTATAATAACCACCTGCTATTCGATGTCTATTTATTCATTCATTTCGGTTCCCATTGAACACCGTATAGAAAGTATTGATCAACTGATCCGGAGTCAAGTTTCCGGACAAATTCAAATGGTTGTCGAAAGGAATTCCGTTTATCAATATATCCTGGTAATTATTATAAAATAGTATTGACAAATACATATTCTAGTTGATATTCATTTGTTTTCATATTAAAAGGATTATTACAATAAAGTGCATGGCTACGAAATGTTCAAATATAATTTGGTGGATAATAAATTCCTATACGATCACCTTAAAAGTAATACTAATAATATTAAATATTCAAATATTGGCGACAGAAATGTGCTAGTTTATAATATTAGGCACAGAAATATCACTCATTATTATATATCAAAAGAATATGATGAATCTCAATTTTCAATCTTTTTTAAAGGTTACGGGTTTAATAATAAAACAGACAGGGCGGTAATTTTAAAATTTAATAAAATGTAAGTAAGTTACATTTTGAATGTTAGTAATAACGTTTAAAATTATTTTTCAGACTTTCAATCATTTTTGAATCTAATATTATGAGGCATTGGATGCGTGTATTAAACTGTAGTTTTAATAAACAGACAATTAGTGCAAAATGTAAAACAGATTATTTTAGCCTTAATTATAGTCATCTTAAATTTGTGTTTAATATCTGTTTGTTTGGTTTTATTATACCAATAATTGTATTTATTATTGAATATTGTTTGCAATATTAGTATAAAACAAAATTTAAATTACGTAAATAAATATAGTAACAATTGCAATTTATCAAAAATTTTATAATTAAATGCAAATAAATGTTAAAAAGTCTTATCAGAAATTTAAATAGTATGTTAGCGAATTTAATTAACTTTACAAATATAATACATCGCAAGAAAATATTAAAAACATTTTTATATAAATATTTTAGTTTAATTAAAATTATTGTAAGGTATTTAAAAAATAATTAGTGAAATAAAAATTTTAATTATAGTTTAACAATTGTGTAATACAGTATAATATTTACTTAATAATAGTTTATTATACAACATTTTTAAATTTAGTAAAGTTAATAAAATAAATTTTAATTAAAAATATTTAAATAATCTTTGATTTTAATAATCCCAGAAATAAATAAAAGTTCAATTGTACTCTACATGGTAAAAATAGTTTTATACAAAATATGATATAATTAATACCGTATATTAAAACTAAATAAATGTTTGTTTTGTCCTTATTATATTATATTTTGAAATTTATTTTTAAAAATTATTTTGATCACTACTAAAATTTCATATAAATTAAATTTAATAAAATATTAATTGTATTTCAAAATAATAGTTTCATATTGAAAATATTATAAATATTAATTCACATTTTCACAATAGTATTATTCATAAAATATATGTATAACAGACGTGGCCAGACATTATTTATTGATGTTTTTTACAGGTAAACAATTTTAGAGTCAATCAGAATTAATGTTATATTATTTGACAATTTTCATAATCCCTTTCATTATAAGCAATTATTAATCCCTACTCATACATGTGTTATGGTATTTNCATAATCCCTTTCATTATAAGCAATTATTAATCCCTACTCATACATGTGTTATGGTATTTGTGATTAGTTTTTAATAAAATGATTACAAGTACTGTAATAATGCTCACACTTACCCACCTGAACACATCTGATGTATAACATACTGTATATTGCAGTATTATAGCTTATTTAGCTATAACTTACTGTTGACTTCACTGCATTGACACTGCAGTGCATACAATGTTAGGCATTCCTAACGGTCGCCCAGTAGTGGTCGACTATAATCCCTTTGGAATGCATTATACCTCCCACTCAATCGTATGGCATATATAGCCCCTACAGCCCAACTCTAGCTCTCTTCCCAGTGGTGTCTGAGCGTAAGGCTCAGAGTTGGACTCAGTGTCGGAGTCCAATAAAGCCATAAACCCTGTATTAGCCATAGAGTTGCTATACTTATGTAACCATTACTTACAGTCTTTTAATAAACTATTGTATGCTTTATATCTGAGTTATAAACCCCTTTCTATACCTCAAACCCCCTTTTAATCCTCGCAACCGTCGTGTCGTTGGCCGGAGTGGTGGCCACGCAAACGAGCGCTACGCGGAAGTACACGTATACGCGTACAGGTAGTGTACTCACAGGTAGCACACGTTTCACGCGCTTAACCACACGTCGTGATCAACGCACGCACCCCGTTGCAATATTATTACCCAAATTAATGGTATTTCGAGATTTCAAACTTTTTGTAATTAATATCTACTTTAAACTGCACAAGGTTACTTGAACGATTTTAAATTATAAAAGATATAATTATTATTCATATTAGCCTCTCCATTATACAATAAATATAATACAGTTGTTGTTATAATTATAATAATGTGCAAAATACCACTGTTTACATACAAACTACTCGAGATCAATGGGATATTAAATATTAACATAATTTTATTAAAAATAAAAGCATATGTGAAATAAAAATAAAATAAAAATTATGATAGGATTCGCAGGGTTAACATACAAACTACTGGTGCTCTCATGGATTACATCTCAGAGACAACTAATCCATGATAAGACGGCATCGCGTGAGACGTGGGACAGTAGCTATGATTTTGTAGTAGTGGGCGGCCGGTGCTGTGGTGGCCAACAAACTCAGTGAATGCAAGTCAGTGCGGGTGCTATTGCTTGAGGCAGGAGGTGCTCAAAATGCCACATATAATGACATACCCGGTATGATGAAATACATATACAAGGATAATGTGAATATATGGAAATACTGGAATGAACCCCACGATAATTATGGCCAAGGGTATGCCGGGGGTCGGGTGCCCGACCATAAGGGCAAAACATTGGGCGGTAGTACTGCTCATAACGGTATGTATTTTAATAGAGGAAATGCGAGGGGTTATGACGAATGGGTCAATACATACGGTGCTGTCGGTTGGAGTTATAAGGATTTGTTGCCAGTGTTTAAGGAATGGGAGAATAATACCGATCGGAGTGTTGTTGAGAGTAATCCCGGATATCACGGGACTACTGGTCCCATACAAGTGTCTGCGCCTAAAAATCCCGACAAAATTATTGATGTGTTTCATAATGTAGTGAATCAGTTGGGATATAGGGATACAGATGTAAACGGACCCATTCAGACAGGCTATCAGTTGCTTCAGCTGTACATTAATGGACAGGGGTTTAGGTCGGGAACGGGTAATGCATTCGTGGACCCGAACCCACACGAAGACAATCTGCATATCGTTTGCAAAGCATTGGTCTCAAGAATACTATTCAATGTATCTGTATGAGTGTACCGAAGGGTTGACAGCTATTGGAGTGGAGTTTATTAGGAATGATATCGAGTATAGAGTTTACGCTAACAAAGAGGTTTCGTTTCCGGCGGTAATTATTACTCAAAAATATTTATTAAATTTTATTTTATGTTATTTACTCTAAGGTGCCATAAATTCCCCGCAATTACTAATGCTTTCCGGTGTGGGCCCAAGGGATCACTTGGGAAGCCTACAAATACCAGTCAAAATAGACTTACCTGTGGGTGACAACTATGAGAACCGCCCTAATGTGAAACTAGACGTAAAACTACGTCCAGAATATACATATCTAGTGAATGAAGTGCCAGAATTAAACGTGAGGCAACTTGGTGAACTATATTATGATCAAGGTGGTGTGTTAAGTTCATTCCCAGTGGGTGCACTATACTACAGCACCCACCTAAATACTGACAAACAGTGGCCAAACGTCGTACTATTCCACTCAGGGTATAACGGGACCGTCAAAACGAGTCTCAATTTAGTTAAAATCAAAAGCAGGGGAACTATACGCCTACAGTCGACCAACCCTTTAGTGCCGCCTCTATTGGACCCAAACTGGTTGTCCACACCCGATGATAACCAGAATATTATGGACGCCACCAGGTTCAGTTTCTATTTGCTTGAACGCACACAACTTGCTAAATATGTGGAGGACTGCCCTCGTTTGCCGATATAGGCTGTCCAGTGTGTCGGTACCGGTATCTGTATGAGTGTACCGAAGGGTTGATGTGTTATATTAGGTATAATACGCTGTCGTCCTATCATCCGGTGGGCAGTTGTCGTATGGACTCAATAGACAGACCCGATGTTGTGGTCGACCCACAGTTGAGGGTTAAGTACGCGAAGAACCTCAGGGTATGCGACGCCTCTATATTCCCAGTCCTACCCAACGCTAATACCGGTGCCGCCGCTATAACCGTAGGCCATAAATGTGCCCAATTCATCAAAGATTATTATGATTTACATTAGTTTTATACTTAATTATTTTAGCTAAATAAAATTGTTATCAAATAAGTTTGATAAAACAATTGCTTTATTTATCAAACTATAGCTCCCTTTCCACTGCATATCGTGATGTCGTGGTGTTTGTACAGTGAGTCGTAGTCACGGTGTGAGCGCACGTCCTGTTCATCCAATCGATGATTATTATCCTTTTAATTATGACTAAGTCATAGAGATTAATGTAATAACTAGTGTTGAATCAAACGCTTTAAAATACCAAATTGTTACAAGGCTAGTTGTCATTATATTTATAGAATGACAACCACTGCTCTATAATATATAAATTATTATAAACCATCTGTAAATCAGGACAAGGGGTTTGGTGTACGACTGGATCCCTACCTGTGCTCCGATAGGGAGCTATTGGAGGCAATCGAGAGTTTGTTAAGTAATCGGAAATTGAATGAAAAACTTCGTGAAATCTCGGGTAGGATTCAAACCGAGGATAGTTTAGCGAAAATACCGGAATTTATTGATGATTTTATGAACAATAGACAGAAATATATTCCAGGGTAGTTTTGAAATTAATTCATTGTTTTTCAATAGATAGGCTGTAGAGAAATATTATATATAATTTTTTTGAAATTATAATTTAAAATAATTGTTATTGATAGGGTTACCAAACGTCCTCCAATCGAGCCGTCAAAAAACAGTCATCCCGAGGGTCTCAGGAGGACAGTGTAATGTCCCCCAGAAGTAATTGTCCAAATAATGCAAATATTCATTTAATTTTTAATTATATTTTTGAAAATCATGAATATTACTAATTTATAGTCATTCTTTAAACAATTTATGAACAATTATTGGAATTACAATAAATTGTGTATTAAATTGGAATTGTAATTAGTAAAGCATCCAGATCTAGGTGGTAAAAATACCTTTATAGTGTGAGCCAATGTGGGGTAGGCTGTCCACCGGCTCAATCCTTCAATGATGTAGCTAGCTGATTTTATAATTATGTGGTTTAGCAGGCACAATTTTATAAATAAAATATAATTTGCATATTAGGGTAACATATTTATTATTAAAATACAGTACATTTAGATACAGTAATACAAGTGATGTTAAGCTGTGTGTTAACCATAGAGGACTGCGTGTTCATGATAGTTTACATAAGCTTTTATAGTGAACAATGTGTGCAACAATTTGGCTATAAGTGTACATTTGAGGACCAGATGTTCATGATATAAGCGTTACTACAAAAATAGGTCAATATTTGGTATGTAAACAAATCAATTAATTATAAAGGGGCCTCTCTAATGTGACATGATTATTTATGTGATTTGACAGTTTTTATATGCAAAAATCGTATAATGCTTTAAAAATTGTAGCTTTATAACAGGATGTGAAATTGATTTATGTGACACTTATTGCATAGAAATGTTGAAAAAACTAACACGCACTATTATGCTTACACTATTATGTTAGGGATAATTACTTGAAAACTAATAGCCTTATGATCACATGATTTTGATATATTTTCTACTGTCTTAACATTAATAATTGAGTTAGAGTTACAAAAAACTAAATCTAAATGGGGAACCTCGTTAGGTGTCAGCAAATTGTGCCAGGATAATCTGCAATAACATAAACTCTATGATCATATCTACCATTTGAATTGATTAAACTTTCCGAATACCAACAACTAATCCCATAAATCCAATTATAGTCACTGGCGACATGCACATTTTACATATTAAATAACATTATAAATATAAACGGTACTTCACCAATACTTTGACCGCAATTATCCGACAGATTTTAATACAAATTGTGATTATATTTACAAAAAATATAAGTCTATGAATTCATATAAAAATATTACTGTATGATTGAATAGCTATCCATAT